AGTATAATGAGATGAGTTCAGTCATAGCTGCCAAATTTTTTGCCTGCTTCGTTGTTGTTATCATCGTTTGGGAAATTCCCGGCGTTTTTGAATGGATTTGGAGTCCATTTACACTCCTAATGGGTTAGTGACCACCCTAATCTTTGTTTACCATAATAAACAATGTGCTCACGTCTCACAAGACAGCTGTTTAATGAAACAAATCTCGAATACAACAATTGCAGGTTACAATGATCCCGCAAAACCACAGCTTCCCCTCTTGCATGAGTGGCATTTCCGTTCTGGCCTTGATCGGTACATATGGATAATCGGGATGCTATATGCATACTACCACCCAACTGTAAGTTCCCAATACTAGAACTTCACATCATCTCTGTTCACAAATGGTTAGCTTAGTGATAAAGACTTACCGTATTTCGTCCTTCATTTCCTTTATTATGTATCTTATAGGTTGAAAGTTGGATGGATAAACTGGAGGAAGCTGAGATGAAGTTCAGGATTGCTATCAAAACAACTGTAGCTCTTATAGCACTAACGGTATTATTTTACTTTCTTTCTGGTGAAAGAAGTCTTCATATTGTTCTCCCAGCTAATCTATCTTTGTTATTATAGGTGGGATATTTTTGGTACGAGTACATATACAAGCTGGACAAGTTAACTTACAACAAATATCATCCTTACACCTCTTGGATTCCAATAACGTAGTCCACTTTACCTGCAAAGTTCTATACAACAACTCTTCCAAGAACCAGTCCTAAGTTGTGTATCTCGTTTTGCTTTTCTTTCAGTGTTTATATCTGTCTCCGGAACATTACCCAGTCTTTCCGCGGCTACAGTTTGACCCTTCTGGCGTAAGTAAAAAATTATTTCAGTCAATAGAAATATTTATCCTCTTATTTCGATTTTTCCAAGAAAAATATGTTCGTGAACTTTCAGGTGGCTTGGGAAGATTACACTGGAGACATATATCTCACAGTTTCATATATGGCTCAGGTATGTCACACTTTTTCTTGCCGAAGTTCTCAAATGTAGAGTAAGTTGGAAATTGATGGTTGAGAATGCTAATACAGTAAGCTATTGATATTTTTCTTGACCCATTGAACTATGAAATAATGTAATTCACCCACAGATCTGGAGTTCCTGACGGTCAACCCAAATTACTACTATCTCTTATCCCGGAGTACCCATTGTTGAACTTCATGCTCACTACTTCGATTTACGTCGCTGTAAGCAAACCCTGCTACAACAGAAACATTTGAAAGCCAGACAGATGCAAACAAACTGATTGACGTTTTGTTTCTCTGTTTCAGATCTCTTATAGGCTCTTTGAGCTTACCAACACTTTGAAAACAGCCTTCATACCAACAAAGGACGACAAACGCCTTGTCTACAACACGATCTCAGGACTCATAATCTGCACTTGTCTCTACTTTTTCTCATTTATTCTTATCACAATTCCCCAAAAACTGGTAAGTCAAAATTTTCTCTTTTTTTTTTTTATGTGGAAGAAAGCTTTTTTCCTGGTACTTGAGTTCATTGATATGTTAGTGCATACACAAAGCAAACACGAATGTCATTATCTCATATTCGATTCAACCATCTCACGTTTTATTATTTCATTGGAAACAACAGGTGTGAAGCACTTATGAACCGGACCAGAGTGGATTATTTGAATGAATTCATAGGAGTTGAACTACGGGATATGGTAGATATACGAAGATAGAAATCAGAGGTAGATGCATACAAGGTTGCTGTAATGTCATCTTTCTGTATATTTATTTATGAGTAAGTTGTTCTTGTTCACGATGATGTTAAGACTTATTTACTCCAAGTTAATGAAATCCATGTGAGTAATTTTATAGCTATAAAATCAATGTGAGTAATGAAATACGAAGCGATTAGCCCAAAGGAAAGCAACACTTGAGGTACAGGTAATAGAAACCATATCAGTACCTGATAGTCACCACTCACCAACCATATCAGTACGTGATAGTCACCGCTGGATAGATTATCAAACATGTCAAAAAGACACCACAACCAACCAAGGAAGAGCGTGAACAAAGCATGTCCAATCTCCATCCTAAACTTATCAGATAGCTGAATCAGCCCTAACGTCCCTCTGGTGAGCCATTGAACACGAGACGTTGCCATCTCCAAAGATTCAGCCTCCTACCGGTGGTAGTACTAGTATTACTGATTACTTAACATGAAGCGACTAAAGAAGAGAATCGCCAGCTCGATTTGTCTCGTGTTAAATCGGTTTGTTGCTCTTTCCTTACATAGACTGATCATATGTCTCCCGATTAGTAGTTCTGATTTAGGAAGAAAATTAAGAAAATCTGAAATATTTTGCTCAGTTAGTAGATTAAAAGGTTGGTATATCGCGCGTTTCAGGATACAACTTCGATTGCTCATTCTAGGGAGTATGATCTGAATACTAAGAGAATGAGTTCAAAACTCTTAGGTGTTATAAATTTTAGATAAGGAGATGCTAAAGGAACCTAAAACATAAGTCAAACCTTCCAATCATATTTTAGAATTAACTTGATACTGCTATCGCTACCGCTGCAATCGGGTTAGTGTATCTATTAACTCGTGCGGAGTTTTCATCTAAGGAATGAGCTGAAAATTTGGTGTAGAGGTCACATCGCAAAACACTGGATACTTTAGCATGCTTTACGAGCATTGGGAATAGGTGGTTTGTTGAAGGTTTGCATAGTTGTCTCTGATCTTTTGGGGAGCCAAAAGAACTTAGACGGAGTTGTGACGGCTTTTTTACCATCTGCACATCGTTTCGTTTACAAAGTTGTTGCATATACAAGATGAGATCTGTCTCTTCGACAGCGTAATGGCTTTGACGCTCTTGATTTACGATAAATTGGATTCAAACAAAACTGTGTTCAGATCCATCGTTTCATATGCTTGCGTTCTTCCTTATTTGCTTCAAGAACTCTGTACTGCCATTTGAAAGAGAACCCCAAGCTACACAGCCTCCTATTGTTGATCTTGAATCATAGAACACTCAGCTTTCGTTTGATGCTTTTAGGGAGGATGATCTGAATGCTAAGACATTGAGGTAAGAACTCTAATATCTCTCTGTAATTTTATCTACTTTTTCAGATTTTCTTAAGAAAATTAAGTTCTGAAAATTAAGTTCTGAAAACTAAGTTCTGAAAGTTAAGAAAATCAGAAAAAGCAGATAAAATTACAGAGAGATATTAGAGTTCTTACCTCAATGTCTTAGCATTCAGATCATCCTCCCTAAAAGCATCAAACGAAAGCTGAGTGTTCTATGATTCAAGATCAACAATAGGAGGCTGTGTAGCTTGGGGTTCTCTTTCAAATGGCAGTACAGAGTTCTTGAAGCAAATAAGGAAGAACGCAAGCATATGAAACGATGGATCTGAACACAGTTTTGTTTGAATCCAATTTATCGTAAATCAAGAGCGTCAAAGCCATTACGCTGTCGAAGAGACAGATCTCATCTTGTATATGCAACAACTTTGTAAACGAAACGATGTGCAGATGGTAAAAAAGCCGTCACAACTCCGTCTAAGTTCTTTTGGCTCCCCAAAAGATCAGAGACAACTATGCAAACCTTCAACAAACTACCTATTCCCAATGCTCGTAAAGCATGCTAAAGTATCCAGTGTTTTGCGATGTGACCTCTACACCAAATTTTCAGCTCATTCCTTAGGCGAAAACTCTGCACAGAGTTAATAAATACACTAACCCGAGTGTAGCGGTAGTGATAGTTGCGGCTCTGAAATTCTGCCTCTGATTTCGGGTCTGGAATCCACAAATTGCTGCAAAAGCAAAGATCAGCAGAATCTGAGCAGTTAAGAGATGGGCTGTGCGGTAAAAGTGACTGATACTAACAATTCTCTGCTCAAGCCAACTCTCGAACCTTTCTAAGCGTGTTAGTGGAACGGGTGGTTCAGATGGAACGGATATTTCAGGTGGAACGGGTGGTTCGGCCATGGATTCAGGAGAGAGAGAGAGCACAGAAGAAATGAAAAGTGGAAAAGAGCTCATAAGAGAAGAAGATATGAAGACTGGAAAAGAGGAGAAGCGACTAAAAATGGAAACCCTAAAAAAAGAGTGTAGGTGATGAAGATGATGGAAGAAAACAAACAACTCAAACTAAAAAAGTTTCCTCCATTCCCAGCTGTAAAAGTTGCAGACTGATATAAAACAGTCCTTTCCGTTAGGGAGAGGAATCTTTATTGCTACATTACACACGTACAGTCTTTTTTGTTTGACCGAAATATCTTTGTTGTTCTCCTTTCTTTTCATTTTTTTTTCCCTCTAATGCGCTAAATTAAATTTGATGATGGTGATGATAATGTGGAGCGTAGAAATTAGAATCTAACATTTCTAAATTGGCGTAGGTCTTCGATCTTGGTGATCAATTTAGTGAACGAGCATGCAATTGGATTCGTTAAATTAAGCTAATTCAAATCTGACAAATTTCGAAGCATATATGTAAAATATTATTTTTGACAGTACCTTTTTTTATATTATGATCAGACACTTTCCCCATTTTTAGCTTCTTTTTTTTTTAATATCTTGTTTTCTTTTATATGCTGCCATTAGAGATATAATCAGATCGATCATTAGTTAAAAGTTGTTGGAAGATTTTCATAATCACAGCTGACTAAAGAAATCTTCGCAATCTTTATCCTAACAATATCTTTTCAAGATATACACATTCTTTATATTCAAAAAAAGAAGCAAAAAGTTACACTAATTCTATAGTTTACTACTAAAGTGAACAAAGAAAGTATAAACTCTATTTTCTTAAAGTAAATCGTTTATGTAAACAAAAAAAAAACTCCATTAAAAAAACCAGTATACGAATTAAGAAGATGGGCCACGTTGGGCCAATTCATATATATCTTTCAATCACATCCAAGCCCATTACGTTTGTTTGTACATGTAAGAAGAAACTCCTTCTCTTAAATCTTGCTCGATTCTTACTCATCTCTTAAAGTCGCGGTGGTGGTCGATTATTTGATACCCAAATCGGTTCGAGCCACCATGATCGACCTCCCTCCTTACCCGCCGCTTGACCCTTCTAACTACGATCTCATTATCGTCGGCACCGGAGTCTCTGAGTCCGTCTTAGCCGCCGCTGCTTCCTCCTCCGGTAGTTCTGTTCTCCACCTCGACCCTAACCCCTTCTACGGCTCTCACTTCGCCTCTCTTTCTCTTCCCGATCTCACTTCTTTCCTTCACTCAAACTCCTTTTCTTCTCCTCCGCCGCCGTCATCTCCTCCTCTCCCTCCGTCAAACAACCATGATTTCATCTCCGTGGATCTCGTTAACCGATCCTTGTATTCCTCCGTTGAGATCTCGAGCTTCGAATCGGAGATCCTCGAAGAACACTCTAGAAGATTCAACGTTGACTTGTGTGGTCCTAGGGTTGTCTTCTGTGCCGATGAATCAATTAATCTCATGTTGAAATCAGGAGCTAACAATTACGTTGAGTTCAAGAGTATCGACGCGAGCTTCGTCGGGGATTCGAGCGGTGAGCTACGAAATGTGCCGGATTCGAGAGCTGCGATATTCAAGGACAAGAGCTTGACTCTGTTGGAGAAGAATCAGCTCATGAAATTCTTCAAGCTTGTACAAAGTCACTTGGCTTCGTCTACGGAAAACGATGATACAACAACAGTCAAGATATCGGAGGAAGACATGGAGAGTCCATTTGTGGACTTCTTGACAAAGATGCGTTTGCCACCCAAAATCAAATCGTACAGCCTCATTCGCCGTTAATCGCAGCTCTTTGCACATTTGTCTCTGCTTAATGTTTCTCAAAATTTTGTCTCTGAAATGTTGATAGGTGAAGCTTTGTTTCCTCTTCTTCTGTGTAGGATCATCTTGTATGCCATTGCGATGTTAGATTATGATCAAGACAATATGGAAACTTGTAGACATTTACTCAAGACCAAAGAGGGCATAGATCGAATGGCTCTATACATCATATCTATGGGCAGGTCATTCTTTGGCTCTTATGCATTTGTGATCATCTTTCTTATTGGTTTATCTGTTTATCATTGTCGCTCTCATTGGTTATACTGAGTATAGTTTAGCTTCTGACCTTTTTATTCTCTACTTAAGGTTTTCTAACGCACTTGGAGCATTAATATACCCAATTTATGGACAAGGAGAACTTCCACAAGCCTTTTGTCGTCGGGCTGCTGTCAAAGGATGCATCTATGTACGTTTGGAACAATTTACTGCATTGTATACTTTGTTGCTGCTGTGGTATTTGTTACTTATTTGGTCTTTCATTGTTTTCACAGGTTCTCCGAATGCCTATTACTGCTCTGCTTTTAGACAAGGCAAGTGAGCTGACAGTTGTAGCATAAGATAAGTTTAGTTGGTTTTGTTGACGAAAGGATTCTTACTTGATTATTATAAACTCTTTTTGTAGGAAACTGGGGGTTACAAAGGGGTTAAATTAGCTTCTGGTCAAGAGATATTCAGCCAAAAGTTGATTCTGGATCCATGTGTTACTGTTGGATTAGAGTCTCTGTCGTCATTGACAGATCAGCAAAATGAAACTCTCAGTGTTCTTGTCCCAAAGGCGATTGATCAATAAGAGAAAAGTAGCAAGAGGAATATGCGTCATTAGAGGTTCTGTGAAAGCTGATGTATCAAACGCTCTTATCGTATATCCACCTAAATGTAAGATAATTATGAAGACCCACTAGTTAGTTGTTTCACTTACATGTATATTGTCTTTTGCGTTTTGAAGGTTCTAACATTAATAGTTTTTTCCTCGTAGCTTTGTTTCCTGAACAGCTAACTGCAATTCGGGTTCTGCAGCTTGGTAGTGGTTTAGCGGTTTGTCCTGCTGACATGTGAGTTGTGGTTTAACCTAAGATGATCTTTCCCATTTGCTTCGCTTTAACTGTTCTTTAAGCCATATATATTTGCTGCTGCAGGCATGTTTTATATCTTTCAACTTTGTGTGACAACGATGACCAAGGGATAAAGTCGCTATTATCAGCCATGAGTAATCTCATCAGATTGCCTGATCCTGAGAATCATCAAAGCGATTCCGTTGTTGAGAATGATACTTGTGAGGCAAAACCTATTCTACTCTGGAGAGCACTGTACGTGCAAGAGCTTGTCAAGGTGGGAAATGTTATTGGGAATTTATCTCTTCATTTCGACAATTAGTAATGTCATTACACTAAATTTTGATTTGGATCAGGGTGAATTTGGAGGTACTATCAGTTCCATGCCTAGTCCAGATGGAAATTTGAACAACAATGAGATAGTGGAATCAGCCTTGAAGGTTAGTAACTACTAAACACTGCTCTCAAATCTCACATTAAGTTATGGTTTTGATAATGTTGTCATCTTGCGTTTGGTAGCTATATGAACAACTCATGGGGAGTGAAGAATTATTTAAAGAAGAGACCTCAGTGGAAAACACAACGGAGGAAAACGATGATGGTGTTGACATAGAAGATTGATTGATTGATGAAACCATTGGTTTTAAAACTTGTAATACCCATTTATTTATTTCATTTTAACATATAGTTTACCCCGTTAGAGGGGAAGCAGGAGCTATTTTCTTAGATATTGACTAGAGCAATTATGATTTCGAAGAAATAGGGTAATAGGTGGACGAGAAGAAGGTGATTAATCCACGACCGCAAATCTTCAATTTGACCACCTTAGCCGAGAAAATCAGATTTGAATTCGAAATAGAAGAATCTCGAAGAGTTCATTCAAAGAGAAAACAAAAAACGATTACGGTTGTGAATTGTGATTGGTAAACTTTAAATCAAGGCAGATATTACTATGGAATAGGAAATTTGACTTTAAACTTGAGAATTTGAAGTGCATCATAGAATGTGGTTGGTACTAACTACCAAGCTGGCATTATTGGGTCTGTGGGTTTGGTCTTTCTTTCGAGAGAATAGTTATCCAATCCAAAGGATGACACTTGACAGAATTTGAAGCCCATTGGTCTGAATTAGCAAAAGGGCAAAAATGTTGGATCCGAAATAAATACGTGGACAAAGATCAAAACAGAACTACACGCGTGTAAGAATTGGAAATACAAAACCACACGCATCAGAGGCGCGTTGAGCGCGTGAGACTAGAATCCGTGGACTATATACCCTCCGTTTTGGGGATTTTTACGTAAAATTAAATATTAAGAGGACCTGCAGCGCGTGGGTCGGAATTTTCATTTGTTGTCTTCTTTCATTTTTAATCTGAATCATGGATTATCTTCCGCTCAGATTATGATCGCAAATTATTGTTATCTATTCTTGATTGAGATTAAAAATGAGGTAAAATCGTAAGAGATTTTCTGTATTGTGATTTTGTGGTATGTATTTTGATTAAAACGAAAATATATTCATCTCCCTATCTTCTGCTAAAATAAATCAAAGTTTTTAGATATAGCCTATCACAAAGTTAGTATACTCCACAGAAAAGGAGTTGACACTAAATTCACAAATGGAAAAACATTGTTGAAATTTCTGCAAATACATTGGAACATGAATGGCCACATAAACTTATCTATTCTAAAGTCATTACAAGCGATCTCAAAAACCCTAACTTCAGAAAGTTGTATTTCATATCTAGTTATTTACTACCAAGACAAGACAAAAAAAGAATCAAAATTGGGAATCAACGGTTTCGTAGTATTCAAGTGTTTCAGAGGTATTGCGTCAGACTTTCACCGCTCATCTCTTCCATCTGTTTGATAATATCTTGAGCCAAAGATTTAACAGATAGCTCGACGTCTTCGAGTAGCTCACCTAAGAATGGAATGGTTTCAGCAAGCAACACAAGATACTCTTCTTTCAGATTATCCAGCATCTGTTTCACACTTCTCAAACTCAATATCCTTGACCGTAGATTCTCACTCCTCGTTTGCATTAGCACCTGACCAATATGATTTTATGTTAGTTGAAAAAACTTAATCGTTGTAAACTATACAAGTCAATAACACATCTAAAAGTCTATCGAATAAGCTGAGACTCGCTTTCTCGAAATTATGTTGTTACCTCATGGTTCAGCGGTTTCCAGAGGAGGTCAGAGCCTGAGGCTACTGCCATTTGACCGATGCATGAAACCAATAATTCGTCAACCTCATCCACAGATGGTACATGTTGATGCTCCTTTAAAGAAGATGGAGGTTCAACAACAAGCTGTGATACAATAGGCTTAAGTAGCACCTGTGGAAAGAAGATAATTTGAATCGAAGTCAGTACTCCAATAGGAAGGAAGAGAGTTAGATCCAAAAAAAATAGTGAAATTTATAGATAATAATGACCTGGAAGTTATTTGTATCCAGAAACTTCAAGCTGCCGGTATCATGCAGAAAACAATTCTTCAAGGAAGAAATCACCAGTGCCCTAAGATGCCAGCTTTTTGGTGATATAGTGTCAGACGTTTCCTGAATTTTGGCCTTCTTTTTCTTCCTGGTTGAAACCGAAGCTTCGGCACTAGTGAGATGTGATACAATACCATCGAGCACGTATTTGAAATATGGTACAAAGATGGACCTGCATTCCAAAGTAAGAAAACTTAAAAGTTAATTGTCTAATCATCTAGAAGCATAAGTAAAGGATACCCCGTATTTGAAATATGTTCACTCACCTGTGACTCTCACAGAGTTTATTCACCAGACCATAGAAAGATATAGCTCGGTCGATGTTCTTGTTTTCACTCCCGGATCCGTCTACAATATCGGACTCTGCCCAATCAATACTCCTAATAAAGAGAGGTCTGAACTCGGACTCAGTTAGCTTCTTTGTGAGAGCAACCATTGCGTTAGTTACACTTCTCTCAGCTTCATCAATGTTCTGAATAGCTGCTGGATTTTGACGTCGAATATCGAGGGCGACTAAGCATTGATCAAAAATCTTTCCATGGTTGCTAACGATAGATGATCTATCCATTTTCACGACTAGATTTTCTAACATATCAAAAGCAATCACCAAGCTTGCATTCCCAGAACTAACAGCCTCATCGTATATTCGTAGAAGAGGTTGCAGAGTAAGACGAACCTGGAAGAAGGGTTACTATTAAGATTCACTTCAAGCAAAAAAAACTTCATATATGTATGTGAAAAACTTACAGGTATCTTATCAGTAAGGAGCCTCCTAATTGTATTGGCTTTGGACTTGAGATTCTTGTCGAAGTCAGAAACATATTCAGGATGCAGCACCATGACTTTCATAATATCTCCAAGATGAGGATTAGGAAACCTCCAAGTTTATCAATTACTGCTTCCAAAGTGACTAGAACAGACAGCATAAGTAACTGCTCTTCAGCTGTTGTGTTTCCAGCACTCTTGGATGCAGATGATACTTCACTCGATTGTTTTACCAAATTCTTCATTATGCGTGGAAGTTCAACAAGCGCCTTAGGTCCAATAACATTGATCAGTGCACCAGGTTGTGCGAAGACAACTTGACGAAATTCCCAAATTCTTTGAGCTGATGCCTTCTGCAACAGATGCAAGGCATTTGCTGAAGATTGGGTGACCAGACGGAAACCTGCCAGCCAAAACTTCCAGTGTAGAAATGGCCGCTCGTTTAGCTGGAACACCTGACTCATCATCTGTCTCATCAATTAGATGGACAATCTCCTCACACATCTTCCCGAAAGAATCAACAGCAACCTCATCCAAGTTCAACCAAGGATTTCTTGCTTTTTGATTGGAAATCTTCCGCTTGTGTTTCAGTTTAGAAGAAGAGGTGTCCTTAGCTCTCTCACTTATAAGTCCAAGTACCTGCATTCATAAATAATAGCAACATTTGCATCAAAGAAGGTACATTAAGCCAACGAGCAAAATCCCCGATAAAGAATAAGGTAACTTCAAAGGATCTGTACATTCCCCAGGGAATCCACATGGAAATGCTACTTCCAGGCAAACAAAAGTAAGAATATTTTGGTAGAAATATGTTCACTCACTATAGCTACAAAATTACTATGAAAACTTCTGTTATTAAATGGTAAAAACATATACCTTTTTCGTCCCATTACGATCCGACTGCTGCTGAAGCAAGTTAGTAACAACCTTGAAATATATAGACAGATCCATGGCTCCCGTGACAGTCATTAAGACATCATGTATACGCATTCTGATTTCATTTCTAACTGCAGAAGTCACATCTTTCTCCTTTTTCGCATCAACAGCTTGCAGGAGAGATATACAACCCTTCATAAGCTCCTGTAGTTCTTGCTGAAAAAATTAACAGATATTACATACTAAAATGGACATTTACGAAAGCACACAAACAGAGAACAAGGTAACAAACGATTCCAGGAAATAACATGCATAGGAATAGACACAGAGGTTTAGTAACAATAGTATGTATCAAAAAAGAAAAGCTGGAAGAGGCTTTTTTACCTGGATGCCCACAGAAACATTATTTCTTGGTTCAAGTGATACTGCAAATGCAAATTCCGGGTCTTGCAACTTCTGGAATATAAATTCTAAGACAATCCGCATCTGTAAGAAACACTGTTTGCTGTCTTTGCTGATAGTTTGAAGAAGCATGACCAGAGATGAGAGCCATGTTGAAGAAGAATATTGTTCACATATTTCCACGGCAAAAGCATACTCCCATTCTCTCTTAACAACAGAAGCAAGACTTTCAGAAGCCTTGGCATTACCAAGCCAAGCTGACCCTTTCCTTGAAATCAAAGACTGGAATAAGAGGACAAGCAAAGTAGGCAAGCCATTTCGTTCACCGATAACTCTGCAGAAATGAAGGATCTTCATTCAGTATTTTCAGATTATAAACACATAATCCCATTAAAAAAAATATTATCTAAACATTACCCCAGCAAGTAAGCTACAATTGAACGCCTTCTATGCTCAACAATATCAGGCAACACTTTCACAAAAATCTGAAAAATCAAATTAAAAATAAGAAATATTAGTTGACAATTGATTTTACATTTAACGTACAATATTTAGAGAAAAATTACCAGCAGCAACTGCTCCTCACTCTTAGTCTTGGACAGCCAAAATGGAATGACCACTGATATAAACCCCTCAAAGATAGACTTCGAGTGGCTATCAATCTACAAATCAAAATAACGAACCAGCAGTTAGGGAAGATACAGGCACGAACAAAATATCGGGGATTGCTAAGAAAGACAGAAATCTGAAGAGTCTAAAAGGAAAAATGAAATTTACACACAACTAAGAAGATATAGACTAACAAACCTGTGTCACAGTTGATTCACCAACAAGTGTAAGTATGCTGATAATATGGTCCAAAACTCTATCAGGGACAAATTTAACAATTGCAGTGAACAAGGAGAAGATATGGTTCCGTGTGACTCCATCATTTGATGAATGAGCCAACTCAACCAGCATTTTGACATTGATTTCATTTGCTATTTCAGCCTGCCATCAGAGGAGAATTAAGAGAAGAAAACAGGCCGCAATATCACTAATCAACTGCATTAAAAAATTAACATACCTTCAAAGGATTCATATTCAGAGAATCAAAAATATCTTTCAGGATTAAGAGCAATGTCTGTTGGATGGAAGAAATAGAGGCAGGAGTTGTTTCACGAACATCCTGTGGAGGTTGGACTGATGTTTCCTCAACGGAAGAAGCAATGTTTACCCATTCTTTAGACATGGATCTTTCTAGGAGCTTAAACAAGGGCCTTACGAGGGACTCCCTAAGCAAAAGAATAATTATTAACAAAATCAGTTGGGCAATAAAAAAGTCTCAGATTACCAAAATTTACAATGGACATGCCAATATAAGCATATTGAATTTCAAGAGACCTGTGAGCTAGATCTTTCTTTAGAAGTAGCATGTCAAGTAACGCAGCAATGAAAGAGAGAGCCTTTTCTCCGCTTAGAAATTCCCCGCTATTTATGTCTTCTTCTCGAGATGACTTTGAATTTTTCTTCTGTTTCTTCTTCTTGCTCAAAGAACCAAGAGTATCCTGCTGAGTGATATGATCAAGAGCATGGACCACCGTTGAAGAAGAAATCTGCAATACCATGGAAATACCAAGTAATTAAAGAAAAATACAACAGGAAGAAATTCTTTGAAGAATAAATGATCATTTCTTCCATAATTTTTTTTGAAAACTAGACAGATAAAAAAGCGCTACATTATCCATCAGAAAAGACTTTGAGAAAAAAGGAAGGAAAGGAAGAATCTGAGGAACAAAAAGATAGTGAACATACCTTGAGGCGTAAGACAGCTTCTTTGGCACCATTTTGTATACTGCCATTTGAACTTCGAAACATAGACACCAGTATATGGAAGAAACGAATCTGATCCACAGAAGACAATCAAGTTATTCTAAAAATGATCCTGATATATATAAATGGATATTGCATTTTTATTACACTACGCCATTAAGACTGACCTGAACCTCAGTCTTCAGTCCAACATAAAATTGATTGCTTAGCTTCTCCAAAATGGTAAGACAAGGAGAAATAATAGCAGGACGTTCTGATGCCATACAATCCACCTGCAAAGGCAAACATCCGTGACTCGAACAAAAAGGCCTCAAAGCAACCAAGAAAAATATCAGAGAATGAACTATTCTTACTTTCAATGCGCTCAGTATATGATCATCCAGAGACTGCCCTTTAAACGATGCTGAACGCATCATGGAGCACTGATATAGAGAGAGAAAAGCAAAAGGGAAATTTTCTTAAACTGTAGTGCAAGGAAGTAGCTAAGGATTCCTCGGATACGAATGGAGAAAAGAGAATTTACCTCCAGAAGAAGGCATAATAAATCGACCTCAGTGTCTGACATTGGCTGTGAAGTTTTGTCCAGTTTTAAGTAGTCTTGACTACGTTTATCGAGAAGTTGAGACAATAACTTAACAATTTCATCACGCAGAAGCATGATGCCCAGATCTTTTAGCAAAGATAGGACCCTTAGCTGTAGAAGAAAAAAACAAGAGTTTAATACTTGTTAAAAAAAAGTGTCACAAACAATTAGGATAATTGACCTTCAAAAGGAAAGGAAATGAACCGAAACAGATAGAAGAGCGGTAGAGGAAACACACCTTCCCATAAGCAGGTAGATCTTTCGCACACAATAAAATGACCGAAAGAATGTTTTCTTTTGTGGATTGATCAAACCTGAAGTTGAAAATAAGAGGCGACATATAGTATGAGAATAGAACATTCAAGCATGGAGTAAATGGATTGACAGAATTCCAAAAAAGCAAGAAACATGTATCCAATTGTTTTTTTCAGTCAGATGCAAGTTTTATCACAATTATGTATTACTGTTATCAAACATGTTCTTTTGCACTTTATATCGTGGTGGAGATAATAAAAGGTAGTAAAGTGTCACTAGACAACTATTTTGAGGTAAAATAAAAGTTTACTATGATTAGTTTTAGTACGAAACACTACTGCGTACCTTTTTTGCAGGTCAACTGGCACTAGAAGGTCATTACTGGTTGAACTGAGCAACGATGTCAAGTAGGATGGGAGAAACTTATTGTCCGACAATATAAGCCTCCTTTGTTGCACGATCATTCCCAAAAGTTCATCAATAGAACTACCACAGATTGCAGCACTGCCTGGTAATAAATTTCAGAAGGGTAAATAAAAAAGTTCGGATAAAACATGACATCTCATACCAAATTAAGGTTACCATTTTTTTTGCTAAAGTCGACACGACACCGAAGATTGAAGAGTGCCTCGATACAATTCATGGCAGCTACTTTAAGGTCCTACAGAGTGAAGGTAACAAGATCAAAAAGAATTCTTAAGAAAAGGAAGATAATGCAAAAGGTAATACCATCAAAAAAAAAAAACTTCAGGTGTCACCTGATTAGCACTCGACATGGGAACCAAAAGTACAGGAAAGCTTGAGAAAATTCGAATCAACCATTCATTATTCCCGCAAGAGCAAAGATACGAAAAACATTTGAGACTTTCAATTTGGACAACAGGAGGAACATCTGCAAGAAGGGAAAAGCAGCTTAAGAAAACAGGAGACGAAATAAAAACAGAAACCAGTAAGCCCTTAATGACATAAAACAGCGAGAGAAATATCAACCAACAAAAATTCGGACATGAGAATGCTTGGGAAAAAAATTCATCTGGAAATAGGAGATGCTCAAGTGGTTTATACCATCAGTGAACAACTAAAGGAAATATAAATTTCCATGCAAACCTTCTCGTGAGATCAGTCGGGATAGAAACAAAACGGGACAGACTTTGGCTTCTCTCACATGGTAATGAAGGTGCTCCTTGAAGACATGCCGTGACCGAGTTGTTGCAAAAAAGAAAAACAAGTCCTCAAGTCCGCTACACAACCTTTTGTTAAAAACCTAAACAAAGGTGAAGTAGCACACATGCAGTTATGAGCATTGCTATTGGTTGGGCAGCAAAATTTTCAATATAATCAAATTTACCAGATCATGTTGAGCATCACCCACCGAAGTATCTTGGGAGGGTTCAAGTGTAATGAATGACTCGCCCAACTTCCAAAACAAGCAGATCAAAAGCTTTGAATTCAGAGCAGTAAAATCAGAGGTATCAAGAAGTTGATATAGGAGTTCTTGGCAATTGCTTTTCAATAGCTGCAAGTAATACAAAAATACATCAACTAACAAGCTAAAATAAGTATCAACCAATAAATGAAAATATTACATCAGCCATTCAGCCGATAGAATACTATACCTCTTTCAGAGAAACATCAACTTCGACCTCAAGTTCTTCCCACTCAGTCTTCAAAACGGGAAAGCAAAGTTCGAAGAGATCCAAAAATTGACTAGGGTCTAAATCAAAGGAAAACACAGCCATCAGAATCACATCTTGATTACTTATCATATAAGACAAAGTTTTTTACGATGCTTAGAAATATAAAAGATGAACATCAGCATGTATAGTTAACGCATTTACTATGGACAGAAGCTTACCAGATGAAGAATTCATCTTCTGCAGTGAATGCATCAACAGCATATAAAATAGTGTCTTTGACAAGGTGAAATCTCGGCAACTGACAGTAAGCCACTGAATATAATCAGCAGGGTGCATCATAAATGCTTCCACCAGCTTGTTAATGATATCCATGTTCAATGTGGATACACTTTCACGGATCAGTAGTCCCTTCTGATATGAGATAATTCACAAGTTATTAAGAGCATGTATAAAATCTCCAAACAACGAACAACAGTAAACCAAGAATGTGAAAACAAGAAACGAGTTAACATATTTAAATACCAAGGAGGACTGGAAGTTTTTTTTTACGAAAAACAGTAAAGAAATGACGAACCTGCAACTTGTTACGTTCCTGTTCTGTCAATTTGATATTGCTGCATGTTTTCAAGACTTCAGAGAGCTTAAAGTTGCAGGCACTCTCAATAAGCTCAATCCTACGCTCATCAGGATCCAAGGAAAGTGCTTCCCCCAAATTGTTTATAATATCCATGCTAATCGAGGATAAGTTTGTAGACATGATATCTGGGAGCTTTTTCTGCAACAAAGAGTTTCTTAGATGACATGATAATTATATTCAACAACCAGTAAAAGATTCGTGATTGCGACTTGGAGTATGAAGGATAGTAAAATCGTAAATTCATATTTACCATCTCAGCATCAGCAGCAAGATTCTTGAAAAGTGGCCAGTTAACATCCTTCCCCAACTTTAGCACATGTAGATTTAAATTCCACGACTATTGAAAGACATGATTACAGCAATTAGCAGAAGTAATAAAGACTTTCGCCATAGCTGTATAAAATGAAGAGAACAAGAAAGAACCTTCGGTTGAATTAAGAGAAATGGGAACATTGCAGAGGTAACTTTCTCAGTAGAATCTGCTTGATTACAGAAGCTTGAGACAGCAATTTTAAGAGACAAAGCAACAACATCATTTGCCAGTTGAACATTATGTGATACTCCTGCAACAAGAATGGATGGTGCGAGGTAAATTGACTGAACATAGAAATTTGCCCTCATGAACCAAGTTAAGAAAAGAATAGAGCATCTTCAGTCACCTGATAGGAGAATGCCAACACATCGTTTCACCACATGAAGCAAAGCATCCAGAAGACCAGAAGAGGTTACTATATTGGGCAACTTATCAAAGGACAGGGCAGCCTGAACAACAGCCAGATCATCATCCCAAAGCTGACGCAGTATAGCATCCTGAATTGTGACAAGGTTCTGGATGGAGAGTAAAAAGAAATTGAAGAATAATCAGATGACAAGAAGTGCAAAGAAAAGGGTCACAAAATACTAGGAATGAGTACCCCACACATACCTCTGCTTTAGAGCTATCATCCTTGAGAACACCATTTAGACTAGACAGCGCGGCACAACGTACAGCAGCCTATAATTTATAACAAGCCCTCAGTTTTGCGCAAAAAGGAAATAGAAATTTTCAACACATAACTGAGATTAGAGGTTATAGTACCCTGGGATGGTGGAGCCGGAACCACAATTTTGAATCCACGAACGGATTGGACATGTCTGAATTCCCATCCAGCATACAAGACAACATCTCTAGCTTTAAATCCTCTTTCTTTGACTGACCTTCAGTAGCCTGCAACAAGAATTCGATGACTCAGAAGACCATATAACAATCACAAAGGAAAATAACTAATTGAGAGTTGGAGCGCAGACCTCTAGAAATTTAGAAACCGCTGCACGTAGTTCAGCAGGATACTTCTTGCTTACAACAACCAAAATTTTCTTGGCCCAGCTCCCTACAATCAAATTGCAAATAGTGGTTATACAAAGAGGAATCTGAAAGAGAATCTTCAAAAATGAACACCCAAATCGCAAATACATGGGTAGTTGACATTTCACTAACCAGATGTAGAAGATCTAAAATCACTGTTCTTCTGGTATTGTGTCATACATAAAGAGAAAACCTTGGAGATCAAATGATCAACCAAATTGTTTACTGGAACAGCCTCAATTATTGAAGCTAAAGCTTCGCAGCATTGATCATCAGACGAACTGCAAACAAGATGACAGTAAGTCAAACATGAATACTAACAAAATAGATCCATCCGCTTGAAAATGACAAAACAGTGTCAGATATACACCTGTAAAGAAGCAAGGAATCCAGTAGCACTGCCAGGAATCTTTTGATGTTGAACTCTTTGGACAAGCCCAAAAGAACACCAGAAATATCTCTGCACAAAATTGAAGCCATTGTTGGAAAAATGTTAGTAAGTTACAATTAAAAAAAGCATAAGAGGGAAGACTGTTCATATTCGAATACCTTATTTCGTTGAGAAGATCCAATGCTTTCCTTGGGATCAAGTCCACAGATTGCAGCTGTAGTTGAGTCAGAAAAATAATTCGTTTAAAAAATCAAAACCAATCAGTTATGAGCTGAATTCTCAGTGAGCAATAGAAACATATGTTTGACCTCGCAATTAAAAGTTTACATATTCGTGATATCAAAAATTAAATTGCAAGAAGTTCATGATAACAGGGAGTTATTGTACCTGAACAAAATTTATCAATGCCATAAATGACAACCGAAGTGAATGGGGGTCAGAAGATTCTTTGGCATGTTCACGAGCAGTGTCAATGATGGACCTCATAAAGCGCTTGATAAGATTACTATTGAGCATGGCTCTGTTTGCCAACATGCCAACAACCATTAACGCTCCAGCCTAGAACCATATAAAAATGTCATAAAATCACATTTAACTGAACAACAAAATCAATTAGTAAACAATATTAGGCAAAATCCACTTTATAAACCTGTTGATCTAAACATCCTTTCACACCGGATTGAAGACCAGAGTCCACAAATGGCAAAATCCTCTTTACAATATCTCCATCAACAGTTGGAACTGAACCTAGAACCCCAACAACAACTGCTGTGGAGAAGCTAACCACAGGTTTTGAAGGCTGATACTTCTTAGTCCGAGATGCCTACAATGTAACCAAGATATAAGATGTTTAGTAGTGATTCAAAAACAACTTTAGGGGCGGAAAAAAAAAGTAGCCACTTACATAGTCACACAAGGTCTCCAAAACTTCCAGATCACGTATACATTGCTGAACGATAACCGATCTAGGAGGTGGAGCACCTGAATTTTTAACACCATCCAGAAATTTCCACTTGCTATTGCTGTAACCCGAAATGAGAACAAGGTTAACAAATCGATTTTCTAAAACGTGGGACTTTAACTTCAATAGCAAATCAAAGGATTATACTCACCCGGTTGAAAGTAGCTGAACAATGCGGACAAAGGCATGTGTGTCGTGGTATGGCAAAGCGCATAGAACCACATCTTCTACGTTGTATATATGAATCCTGCAAAATAGAGCAATTAGGACAATTTGATGAACGAACAAAGGCAAAAATACATAGTCAATAGTAATAAGGAAATACATACTTGTATCTTCGTATAAGATACTCAAGGGTCTCCAAAGAAGCACGGAATTGAAGATAGCCCGAGAGTAAACGTAGATACGAACTGATTGATGCATCAATCCGAGCATTTTCTTCTTTACCCAGCAATTCCCTATCAATTTCTCTACTTTTATGACTAAACAAGTCGTTCATGTAATTCTTAAACCTCTCATCTTTGTTTCCAAGTACTTCTAGACCTGAATTAACAAAAAAATAATGATGAGCATTCAATTCATCATTGGAATTACGTAGTTGTAGTAGAGAATAATCAAAACCTAGAACAGACCTTTGAGCCCGAGCTCGTAGATGGATTCAATATCGAAATCAGCTGCTTCTTTAGGACTGAAGAGAATTGAAGGGCGTGTGAAGGGTCTCTTCGAAGGCTCTGTATCGGCTTGTAACACTGACTTGAGAGCCTGTAACTGTGACACTATAGAAGAACTCATGCTCCCTACTGAGGCAAGACTGTTCTTCAGAGGAAATTCGAAGAATAAGTTTGAGGGAGAGAGAGAGCGGCGTATCAGAAAAACACCACAAAAACAAACGCGGCGTTGAGGATGAAGAAGAAGCGGGTTTAGGGTTTAACGATCCTTTTATTTTTAATCGGGAAAATAGTTATAGAAATAAAAAAGGAAACCCCTGAGTTTTTAATAAAATTGCGTTTTAAACCCATTACCTATTTTTTTGTTTTTAGGTTTAATAACCTCAGGTTTTTCAAATTGCTAAAAAGCCCATCTCTAATCTGCCGCTACTGTTACAAAACGGTGCGTTTTTTTGTTCCTGAAGCTGCCTGAATCCAAGAAGTCTTGAAGCAAGTGGAAGAAGGAAGTCTCGATTCTCGGAAGAAGATATTCAAGGTACATGTTGTATCACTGTTCACATCACATTGGTCAAGATTAACTAACACACCCATCACTTCTAAATCTAATTGAAGTTATCTATCCAAGAATTTCAATACAATGGAAGTGAGACACAGAACAAAAAGGAAATTTAACACTTGAACTTTTTCATTATAGGTTAACTAAATTATACGCAGATAATTAACAACATCACCAACTTCAGATATGTCATAAACAAGTCATTTTCCTTGTCCTCTTCATCAACAGTTGTAAGTTGTAACTGTTAGCCAACTTCTTCTCATCCTTATGCACGACTCCATTTTCCGTTTCTCCACACTTGGCAAGGCCTAAGATGATTGTAAGCAAACTCCAATCTCTCATCAGTCGTTTTGAAGTAGACACCATATCTCGTGTAGTTGTTGTTTATCTTATATACTCGACCAGACCACCATCCTTCATTATACCAAGCATCCACATCTTCATCCAATTCATATCGATACGCCTTTGGAATCAGTGGAGGAGGAATAGGTCTTATATCTGAACCTCTTGCTTCTTCCTTCAACAACTCTCTTTCATCGTCTGTTTTCAGTGTTTGATACTCCACTGTGTATCTGTTTCCCCCTAAGTAACTTACGATCTTCGCAGAGAACCATGAGCCTTCGTAACCTCGTTCGTCGCTTCTAACTTCCACCATCATTCCATTGTTAAATACCTTCTCTGCTCTCTCACAAGATTTCAGCTTCTTCAATGGAGGTTTGTAGCATTCTTCCTGCACATAACAAGGTATCCACAAACCGTAAGTATAACTGCATAAACATTCATATCTTATACCAATAACAGAATCAGTCAATACCTTGGAAGGATTAACCCATTGTCCATTGATCCAATCTTTGTGGGGCCTTAAGTTGAAATTTAGGATTGTCGGTTCTTCACCTGTTGAGATGATAAAAACTGAATACTTAGAACCTCCTCCTAGGACTTTGGAAACCCTACCGATCCACCACCGTTTGTTGAACCAAGCATCAACTATAACCCCTGGTTCATAGCACACAACAGGCGGAAGTTCTGAAGGAGGAACTGGTCTCATGTTATTGGCTTCTACCACATCTCTCAGAGGGATCGACTCACCATCATCTCTACTAAATTTCAAGTGTTCAACAATGTATTGATCATCACCTAATAAACAAAGTATACGTGCACAATACCAAGAACCCTCGTAAGCTTTTTCTTCACTTCTGACTTCCACAAGAGCTCCCTTCTCATATTGATCTCTTCTCTTGATCTTTATCTTCAGTTTAATACTTTGGGCTTTCGATTCCAGGAAATTGCTCTGCAAAACAAAAAAGCAGTGTGAGTTTATTAAGTCAAATCCCAACAAATCGTCAAATTCAAATTGCTTGACATACAGTATATACATAGTCAATGCGCTTGATTCTCAATTAGGCAACTTATATTTTTTTGTAAATTTAGAATTAATTCGTCAAACCTTTTAATGGATCTTAATCCCCTTCCAAATCCTAAAACATTCAATTCACAAATTTACTTGAAGCCCTAGATTAAATTCAAACGCAGAGAAATTTTTTACCTGTTGGAGAAGAGAAGGAACCCACGCACCATCTTGCCATTCACGATGAAGCCTCAAATCGAACTGATCAACCTCTATTTCTGGACGATTTCTCCCTTTAAACTCCACAATGTACCTTGACTCTTCAAGTACTGTCGTAACACTGCCTCTAACCCAGCAACCTTCGCTATCTCTGAAGACATCGACCTCATCGTCAGCTTTGAACCGTCTGTTGAGCTCACACGGCGGAGATGGACGGAGGCGCGTGGGAATAACGTACTCCTTCATACGTATGGAAACGGAACCTCCAACAGTTAGGGATTCATGCTCCACCCAAACGTGTTTCTTTCTCACCGAAGGCGCGTTAACCACAGTCGCTGGAAAATACGCCGTCGCGCCGGAAACAAGTCGTTCCACCTCAACGCGGTTACCGCCGCGCCAAAATCGATCACTCGTCATCAGTAAACAATTTGTGCAAACCAACGAGAAAATAGGGATAACTGAAGAAGATGAAATTCCTAGGGTCCTTGTTGTTGCTTCAACAGAAGAAAATCAGCGAAAAATGAGAGATATATAGAGAAGGATACAGTGGCAATACAAACATGCTTATTTTATGAGTCGGTCAAGATAGGTCAACGCAAAAAAAAAAAAAAAACACCACCTCGTTTCTAATTTATGTTATACGACGCCCTGCTGTTTTTCTTTAGCATTCAGATCACAATGCGAGGTGTTTTGTGTTTTGTTTACGTGTCAAAATAAGAACCGTCGATCCGTGACTAGCGTGGAATTCAAGTCTTCGCTAAACACTCCACGGACAGTTAAAATGGGCCTAGCCCACCTCATCCTAAAGTTATGCTCTAGAAAAGTCGTGTAGTTTTCCACCTTTCCTTTTTATTTAGATAGCTAAATGCTTGCCGTTTTCAAACAGGGTAAGGAATCAAGCTAAACAAAAACCGGACATTGGGTCGGTTAAGCCTGCGATTCATTGGTCCAACCAAATGTCGTTTGTCATTCGTAGGCTATACGCTAAACATCGTGCCGTTTTGCCTTTATTTAAACATTAACAACAAAACGGCGAATCGTCTCTAATTGCGCCAAAGTTTTGGCAAATCGTACAGGGAAATGAGTTTGTACACTCGGGTTTCTTCTACTCTCTTTCTCTAGTCAAAGGGTGAGGCTAAAGCGGGATGTAGAACGAGCCCAGAATCATCGGTGTGCTTTATCTTGACTTTTCTTATCCTCTTTTTCATGATTAGTGGCCATATGAGAAGGGTTCGAGCCACGCGACTCAATGGGTCTTGAAGACCATCCACTTGGTAATGACCAAACCGCCAGTCACGATCGACAAACGGTCTCCATTGAGGCTTGTCGAGACCATCTTTAAAACAAAAAACCCCTTGGAAGTAAGATTATAAAGTAAAAGTTGGAAAAACTAAAAAAAAAACGTAAGGTGGAAGTTGTAACCAACCTGCGTACATAAGATTATGATTATCAACGGCTCGGTAGAATGGCCGTAGTTTTCCTGCTTTGGCAGCTTTTTGGAGTTCGTTCCATGCAAGAGACCGATCTTTACGAGTGACTTTTCCACTTTTAACTATCTGGAGAGCAGAAAGAAAAACACAAAAGCCATTTGAGATGAACAGTGATCTGGTGATCTCAAGCGTAGTGGAAACCACAAGGGGTTATAATGATAAACCTTGGAAAAGAGATGGTACGATGGCCGAAGGGTTCGGGCAAGATTATGGGATCGGTCAACCGCAACAAGTCCAAATTTTGGACCATATCCATCAGCCCATTCCCAGTTGTCGGAAATAGTCCAGAATATGTAACCGAGCACAGGAACACCCTGTCACGAAAGCCACAAACACAGTGAGAGATATGCCAATACCTAGGGTTGTTATGGCAGACCCAAAGCCCGCCCAGGTACGCCATTTTTCTTAATGGTTTCCAGCCTGGCCTTTGAGCCGAAATCATGGCAAGGTTTTGAAGCTTAGATACTAAGCTCATAACAGATCAGGCTCAAAACGGGCGAGGAGCCAGTCACAACAACACTACCAAGGATCAATAGTTAAGCAGTTAAAAACGTTTGGATGATTCAGAGAGTTTCAGGGACACAAACCTTTAGCATTGCAGCATATAGGGCAAGGAGATGCTCGATCAGGTAAGGTCGTCGAATCACATCTGTTTCATCAGACACGCCATTTTCTGTGACGATGAAAGAAACTTTCAGGTGTTTGTATCTCTCGTGGAACATCAACAACACGCGGTAGAGTCCATCAGGATATACCCCTCTTCCAGATTCACTGTATTCATCAGTCTCTACAAGCTTTAGTCCAGCACCACACACTGCTTCCTGATTTCTCGGAGTCAGATTCCAACATACTTATTCGAGAGAAAGCAATATTATTGATACAAATTTGAGACCTAAAAGCAATTTTTATTCTTAGGTCTCTTACCTGTCCGTAGTAGTTGATGCCTATGAAATCCAACTTCTCACAAATGCTATCGATATATGGAAACATAGTGAGGGAATTACTAATAGTAACGGCCCCGATATCAAAGAGCCCATATGGTCGCATAAAGGAGACGTGGTGTGCAACACCTACCAAAGGTTTTTTCAAGGAACTGCAAAATAAGAGTTGGAAACTATTAAGATGTACTAGTGATAGAAATTCATAGGATATTTTTTTAAGAAAAGGGAGAAAAACTAACATTTTCCCATGGATGTAGTCATAGGCCTTTGAGTGAGCAACAGCCATCCAGTGTAAGGCTCGATGGAATACACCCATTGGTAGAGTAGATGTAGCTATCTCCAGAAAATCAGGGTTGTTACCGGGCCAAGACCCACACATGTAGGTAAGCATGGTGAAGATATGGGGTTCATTAAATGTTACCCAAGAGTCTACCAAATCAAACATGGAATCCACAACAATCCTGGCATGTTATAGAAAGATGATTAAGACCTACATAATGTCCATAAAAAGCTCATTTGATGAGATAGTCACCTGGTAAAGTCCATAAAGTAGTCGACTGTCTTCTCCATTTTCCAGCCACCATAATCAGCTGCCCATGGTGGCAATGAATGATGAAACAGCGTTAGCATCACCTTCATTCCATTTGAACGAACTCTTTTAAGTATCCATTTATAGTGTTCGACAGCCTCATAGTTAACCTACAAAGTATATCAATAGAAAAACAAGGTTTTAGAAAAAAAAGGCAAAACAAAAGAAAATGCATTGACACATTATATGAATACTATGATGTATCATAATAGGTAAGGACGCTTTCTCTACAAGGTTTAATATTTTCTTGACTCACTGCTTCCTTAATTCCATTGGTAGGCTCTACTGGCATGATCCTAGACCAATCGACTCCCATCCTAAAGACAGTAACGCCAGTGTCTTTGGCTAGCTTCACTTCTTTGTCAGGATCTGACCAAAATTTAAGCCTGTCCTCGCTGAAACAAATTGAACTTGGAGCTGTCAACACTAATGTTTACTATACATGCATCAAGTATGTTGGTGCAATTGATGTTAGAAATCTCACGGGTGAGGAGCGTTATGCCACGCAGCGACATTTTTAGAGGGTGGCTTATCAGCTGCAGTCTTATCTTCTTTTCCATGTGAGTTCTTGGCCAAGCCTTTGGTTATAGCTCCCACAGCAAGCTTAACCTTCTTCCTCTTAGCTTTCTTATCAGCAGCCTCTGCATCTGATGCTGAACATGGAGTTTCTTTTGCAAACTGGAGCCAAGCATCATCTAGATCATCCTCCACATGAGCAGGTGCAGTAGCCAACCCAAAGAAGAATTTGCCTTCCTTGTGTTCTGAAACAAACATGTTAAAGCAATTCCATCACAAATAATGTATAATCTATCGGATTCAATTAATTCTGAATTCCAAAATAATGCAGAAAAGGGAAAAATCATTTAACTAAAAGAGTTGTAGAACATCAAGCTCAACAACGTAAACCAGAAGGAAGAACACATTCAACAGTAATACTAAATCGCAGTCGGAGAAGATGAGAGAGCTTCTTACCAATGGAATTGAAATCGGCGAGAACTTCTTTAGATTCGTCGATTGGCGAGCGAAACTTGGCGAGATTCTGGCGACGGAAACGAGAGTAGGAAAAAGCGTTGGCTCCAACGGTGATAGTGGCCACAAGACCGGCGACCTTAATAAGCAATGCGACTAATTCCATAATCGCCGATGTGAAACAATGACCGGAGCTCTCTAGTATTTACCGGCAACGGAGAAAGATAAAACAAAACGGGTTTATGACAAAAGAGCCCATTAAGGGCCCATTGAAATGGCGTGGTGTGAAGTGGTTGGTCGTGATCACTTTGCTCGCAACCTTATCGTGTTCGTGTGGGTGGCTTAGCTCCAAAGTCCGTGTACGTCTCCCAGATGTGGTCCTAATACGGCATCGTATTTTGTCGGTTTTTTTACATTAGAGGAGCTTCTCTATTTAGCAAGTACACTAATACATAAATGTTAACTAATACTAATAGTAATTTGATTAATGTGTGTTGATTGTTTCTTTTGAGATTTTCATTTTTAGATATATACTCCCTCCGTCCCACCAAGATGGATTTTTTAGAGAAAAAAATTTGTCCCACATAGATAGAAGTTTTGTATTTCCAATATAAAATATAAAACAGTTTACCTAATTTACCCTTTTAAGTAATATACTTTTTAAAATGTGTTAAAAGGTTAAAATTATCATTATATATTATTTCTTAAAAAATGTGAAATTTTAAAAAAAATCCATGAGGGTAGTTTATTTTGAATCTGTGGTTGTAATGTATTTATGATTGTTGTCCAAAGATTTTGTCGTAGTAGTATGTGCATTCTGGTGAGTGGTCCACTTAGATTTTCTTATCTTCTTCCTTAGCCACCTCAAATCTAATGTCTTTTTGTTCCCTCGTCTCACTCTTTTGGCAGTATGATACTGCCAGTATCAGATAACAATATCTTTTGTTTCCCTAATAAAAATACACTAATTTCCTTTTCCTTCAAATATCCATTTGTGATCTGACCAATAAAGTCTAGCGTAATCCGATTATCAAACTGAAAAACCAATCTAGAAACAAATCCAATTTTAGTTCAGATTACTGAATCTGGTTTTATTTCTATCCAAATCATTAAAAGTAAACCGAGAAGAAGGAAAAGGTAAACAAAAACATATACTGTATTCCTCTTAAAATATTTCAAATTAAAAATACGTTTACTTAGACACTGATTCATCGTCCTAATTAGCAAGGATGTTTTTTGCCTACTAGCTGGAAAGAAACTTCACAAAGATAATGTTTACGTCAAGATCAGATATGTTACTAAAAGAAAATATGATTAAATATGAACTTTTGTTCTTGTGCTTGTTAAGTTTCAGGAAACTAGTAAACTAAGATCTTGGAGGTGTGAAACGCGAACACTTGTTCTTCCTTCCGCTGCTTTTACTCAGGCCACAGACACAAGTCTCGAGTAGCTGATAGTCCTCTTCCCAGAACAAGAGTGATGCTTTCTCAGGTTGCTCTATGAGTTTCTTAGCTGCCAAGAAACCTGCGATGGTCCAAGTCTGGTAAAGCCTTGATTGTTTCCCCACGAATCTCCCGCTTTTCGTGTCATAATACTCAGGCCACTCATCTTCCTTGAGCCTTTTCTCTGCTACAGCAACTGCTTTCTTCGCCAGTTCGAGCTTCCCCATCTTGATACAAGCCAATGTAAACTACAATATCCAGGCAGTAAAAGGGTTTTAGAGTTTCTTCAATCTGAAAACACAACTACTTTAGAACTACTACATGTTTGTTTGTTTGTACCTGCCAGAGGAGAGTTGGCCAGGATCCGCCATTGTGGTATGACCAAGGCCTGCAATGAAAAGTATGAAACCAAAGATCTGCGGAATTCCCAAAAAAAACGAAAAAGATAATGTATTTTGAAGGGACTCACGTGTTCTTTGGATCAGATCCGGTAATTATTCGCCATTCATCTTTCTCTAGAGCCGGAAAACAAATTTTGAGAGGCATGTTTGCAACAAGATCATCCCATTTCTCTTCGATAAGTGTCATGACTCCTTCGTTCTGTTCTTGGTTTCCCAGAGATGAAATAACGGCCCAGAGGTTTCCAAGCGTGAAGAATCTGAAATCCATGTGAGCAGGCTGAAGATTTCCTATGAAGTAACCGCCTTTATCAGGAATCCAGTCGACAAGCCAAGTAGGGATCTGATCCGGATATATGTTAAACTTGTTGGTTGCATCTGCTGAATACTCCTCAGTGTTGTAACGGTATATCTCGTTGATTTTCTTAATATCCACCCAATAGTACTCTCTGATATGGAACGATAAAGCACTTAGGCGATTGTTAACTGCAGCAACTAAGTTCTTGGTTCCATCATTCACAATAAGCATCTCTCGAGCACAGCGGAGAGCAGAGTAGAACAATGCCTGAGAAAGAAAAAATTATGACCGTTAATCATCAATTATAAAAAGTCCATTCTTCGATCAATCATACATGATCAGTCGCTTTACTTGGATTTCAAGTGGATGCCCATGAATGCCCATTCTTCGATCAATCATACATGATCCGTCAGTCACAAGAAGAGTCGGGAACATGTCAAAGCCATCGGCAAGACATAGCTTTAGTATCAACTTGATCCCTGTTTGAACATCAATTCGCTCTTGCAACGTGTAGTCACCCGTGAGCTTTCCATAAGCTCTCAACAATATGATCCACCACAAACCTAGCAAAATTTAAGAAAGATTACAATCATATTAGTAGCTGGAATGTCTAGGGTGTTAGTTTCTCCATGATAAGTAGAAAATGTCAGAGCACAAGGAATTACCAGAGTCAACAGGGCTAACACGCCCAATGGCTGATCCACCAAAGTCTGGATCTAAAAACTCCTCAAATGAACCATCATTTCCCTCAAGTGGCCCAGATTTCACTTTAAAACTCGCTGGCATTAGCCCTGGGCCAGGGCTGTGACAGTCCACTGTTTTCTCCCAGCTCTAAAAACCAAACAACAGAAAGGCCGATTAATAAACGTCGGCCTAGATCAGTATATCAAATGCCTTACAATTGCATACACAAGAATTGAAGTCAATGGAATCAAAGGAAAAACACTTTTTTAAGAACCAGAACCTATATAACTTGGAAGGAAATGCAAATCTTTAGACCAAAGTGCCATTAACAGTGTCAGTGAGCTTCATCAAAGCCATATCAATTAGACAAAAATCACAGATTAAAACTAATTCTATCAAATAAGCATCAAATTTTTGGGATATGGATATCAGAACAAACTATAACACTTTTCTAAGAGCTAGAAACTAACGGAACAGGCAAGGAGAGGCAAATTCATAGAAGAAGTAAATGAAACTTGGTGGCATCTTAAAGAATATCACAGTATTCAACAACTAAATGATGACAAGCAATAGAAAATTTCGGGTCTAAACATATTTAAACACAAGAAGACATACCTGGAACTGCAACGTACAGGGGAGATATTTGTCTGACTCTTGCCTTTCTCCATTAGGCAATAAAACTCAGTAAAGAAACTAGATAAATTGCTTTTCACAAAATCCGCTAAACTTCCCTAGAATGAGAAATCAAATTCCAATTGCAGATAATGAGCGTGCATGCAACCAAGAAAAGCAAGACTATGTTGAAAATCAAAGAATCAAGCCAGGCATCACTCCTCTAAAAACTGGAACTTTACATAACCAACTTAAACAGTTTCCAAGCAAATTAACAACAACATAAAGCTCTAAATTATTGATGTAGACAGTCTAAAACCAATTGTGTATTGGACAGAAGGCAGAAGCAATTAAATAACAGCTCAAGAGCATCATGTCAAACAAAAAGGTTCAAGAAAATGTTACCTGCAACTGCAATGTATGAAGGAGAAAATTTCTGACAATCTCCCCTTCTCCATCAAGCATAAAAGCATACGCCGAAGGAACAAAATCGCGAATAAACACCTGATCATAATTCAAAGTCTGTGTATCCCCTGGATCATTAGCCGCTACAGTCCCCACCGGGAACCCGCAGTAATTCACCACGGCACCACGAAGCAGCTTCCACGCCTCCTTCTCAACCTCAGTCTGGCTCAAACCCCGTTCTGTTTCCTTTCTTACACCCACATTTCCAAAATTAGCATCTTTTCCTCCTCCATTAACACTTTCCTTTTTCGGTATCCTTTCAGTTTTTTCCACATCCTTAAAAACTAGTGGCTTCACAAACATACTCTGAAAGCTCTTATCATTTACATGAGAATCCAACGAAGAAGTCGAATGGTTCCTAAAATCTGAAGCTACACGGGGAATTACTAAAACACCCCTTCCTCTTCCTCTACTACCTCTAGCTCTTAAAACTCTAGATCCTCCTCCTCCCCAACTAATGGAATCGGAATCACAAAAACCATCCCGATCCAGAACAATCCGACGGCAATGAATACCAGATCTAATACTCCTGGAATCAATCTTTGTACAGTGTAACTTCGACGAATTGATGAATTTGCCAGAGTTCGGGGGAGAAAACCCGAAAAGCGAGGAACTTGTAAAACTAATAAGAAATCTACGACAGGGTTTCATCGCAGAGACACAGATACAGCTCCTACTGTTCATTATCTCTAAAATCAAAACTATACAATCACCAACCAATACAATTTTAGCCAGCTTCTTGATCGACGAACACAAAAGAACCCGATCGTAGAAATTGGTGAATGTCTATACTAATTCGAGGTAGAAAATGGAATTCGGAAACAGAAAATTAGATCGGAGATACTTACAGGGGAAGAGAAGATGCTCAAAGAATGAGATTTTTAGAGCGTAATAAAAATGAATGCAAGATATTTTATGTTTTGTCTGAATAATGGTTTGGTGAAGATGATGAAATCTGAGTTTATTCATTACATTAAGGTTGCTTAAAAAGAAAAAAAGATCCGTGGCCAAAAATGTAAATTAGTTAACATGTTGACGCGCGTGTACTTTTCAGTTGTTGGGTAAATTACGAAAATAGGCTCAGATAAGTGTCTCTTCTTTTAGTACTTAATCGTTTAGTTAGGGCTACAAATGTCATTTTAAATTTTGTTCTCTGTTTCTGTATGGATCAGATGGGCCGGTGGTAGAGCCCACAAAAATTCTCATTAAATAAATGTGGAGAAATACATGACGATAACCTTGACAGTTGACACGATTCTATTTTACGAAATTACCCCTGGGAAGCCAAAACCTTGCATACGTGGCATATTTTGATTAGTCAATGTTTCTAGATGTACACGCACATTTTTTTTCAGTCTGAAATTTAATTTGTGCAAACGCGTCGCCGTGATCAATTTCGGTTTGCAATTTGTCTGGCGGCCAAGGAAGGAATCTTGCTTCGACACATAAACATACCCACGCGCTCTGATTAATCGTGATATTCAAGCGCATACAAAGATTCACGTTTCGAATTACACTAGCCCATTACCACAAAGATGAGGCCCAGTTTATGCTTTCAGTAGGAGCGTACTAAATTAACCGTATGGGTTTCTGATGCTTTTTCCATGTCCTAATTTCTCAATTATAGCCTAAATAAGCCCATACTTCAGCCTTAAAATAATTAGACGATTTTTAAAAAAATGTGAGCAAAATTTTAATTGATTTCTACCTTTGGTTTATACACTTTTTCCTTGTAAAACAACATCTTGAAATAATTTCTTAAGTGACTAACAAATATAGTCCTTTTTTCACATCAACATATATATATATATATATAATCTTTTTAAAAAATTACCAAAGTTTTTGTAGTTCTTGGTCCATATCAGGCTAAGCACAACATGTAAATTAATTTTCTTTCTACTGTTGGAACTTGAATTTAGAAACATAGAGTCAAATCACTTTCTTAACCCCAAATTAGCTATATTACTTGTTTATAAATGGCTTGGACTTATCTATATTACTTGGTGAAGAAAGAAAACGGAGAAGTTATAAAATCTGCAAACTCATAAGAAGTAAATATCTTAAGTGTTCATATTAGATGCCTAACCACGAGGATTGAAGCATGTGGGTTTAATACTAAACGTTTGCTTTTGAATAACCTAGAAAGGGACAGGAGCATGTCATTTATCTAACGTGCTTCAGTTTGTCTTGTTGATATTAGCTTATATATACGGTCTTATGATCTTATCCACAATCCCATATTGTTGTTTTATATTTATAAGAAAAAAAATTAGTTAATCTTAATGGTGGGAAGGGTCTCTTTTTATAACTTAGTGGATTGGAAACATGGAAAGTTAAACACACACAATGATCTAATTTACATGAAAGTTTAATTATGTATAATTCATGTACTTAGACATTACTTTTTGAATTATCTTATCCATTATATATGTAAAACACATTGAATCTGTTTAAATATACTTTATACGTATGAAGATCAAAGGAATTTTTCATAATCAAATAGGCCTACACATTTTATTTTATTTTATTTTATATCGGGAAAAAGTTCGTAGTAAACTTTGACATCTTGAAAACCTGATATACGAGTTTGTCCAAAAAAAACATGATACGATAGAATAAGGTAAGCGATGGAAATACTCACTAGTTTTACTACTTCATTCATATGTGTAATTTCACTCTCTTAACTTAATATTGGTCATCAATCTTATACACATCAACTAGGCATCGATCGCCTACAACACAGATTTTGGGTTTGTGTTTACATTTACATGAGAGAGAAAAAAAATCCAATATTGAACTATACACTGATATAAACATAAAGACAAACGCATACAAACAAATATGTCCTAATACCATGGAAGAGTATCTCAATACTTTCTTACGCTAACCATCATAATTAAAGCTCAAAAATCCTACAGTTCTTACATGTGTAAATAAGTAATTATAATGCAGAATTATGAAAATATTGATTTGATTTTTTTAACGAAAATGTGTGAAATTATTATGAAACTAAAGATAACCACAAAAGACAGACAGACAAACAAACAAACGAACAAACAAACAAGTGGTTGCTAAGAAGGTATGGCAAATTTCAAGGCAGGTATCAATCAACTTACGACGGGATAGACATAACATAAACCTCTTGTCCAAAGGTACCACGGAAACCGAAAAATCAATATTTATTTTCCTAGATTGGTAATAATATAAAATTTCAATAAAACCAAATATTCATGTGTCGTATCAATTATACGATTTGGGTATTCGTTAATGTGATTAATATTGGGTTTGCGTCTCGATCCAGTTTTACGGGTTATCAATTAAAGCATTGATTCAATTGAATTTCAGCTTTATCACGTGATTAGCATGGTTTTCTGGCTAGTGCTTTAGAGACTTTTGTGGCTAAAAATGCTTATGTCCATAAAAAGAAAAAAGAACATACAAACAATATTAAAGCAATTGATTAAGACTAAGTTTTTTTTTTAATGTATTTATGATTATTCGAAATATGTTGTTATATATGCTTTAGCATACTTCTAATTCTAAATTAAAATATAATATGGTTGGATGTTTTATAACAATGTTTTAAAAATGAATGGAAATAGCGGTATGAATCTAGATGATGTTAACCGCAAGTCTGTAACAAATAAATTTTATATATAATGACGAAAAAAATAACATTGTCTTTCAATCTTAAATAAAACCTGATAAGTAAGTAATTTCTACAGAAAAAAATTATCCTCCATTTGATTTCTTTATATTAAAGTAGTATATATCTCATTGTGGCAAAAGTAAAATAGTATCCTAATTAAAAACAGTGTTAATTAAAAATGATCGTAGTAAAAATCTCCGCTAGTATGTTTTTCCCCATAACGACCAGACCAAATGATCCCCACCAAAAAAACAACTACTTCAATTTTAATATTGGTACAATATATATATGCATGCATAACGTTTAAAACATTCACGTAGAGTACAAACTTAACACTTTTCCACACTATATTTTCTGATTCTGCGACAGATTTTAAATTTGTATCACTAGTATATTATTGTCATTCTAAAAAAGTTACTCTATTATCGTAAGCATATTTTCTATGAAGAAAAAAGTAGGAAATGACACACACCAAAAAAAAAAAAAGTGAATTCTCCAAATTCAATGTATTTCGCAGGTTTCGGAATAGATATGGTTTTTGTATGAATGTATGTAAGAAAAAGGTTGGACCCAAAAGGAAAGCCACGTTGACGCCGACGTGTAAGTCTCTGGACGCGTTGACCTTGACCATTCAAATGACCATCGAGTCGGTGTCCTTCTTCTTTGTGCTCCTCTTCCCCAACAATGGAATTTTATCCACCCCATCGAATCGCCAGACGCCACGTGGCGCACGCTAAGTCCCATGAATCTGAATCTGTTTTCTGTTTTTCTTTTTGTTCCGTCTCTTCTGAATAAAACGTTAACACAAGTTTGATTTTTAAAGAGTTTTTTTTACAACAATATGGACTACATTTCCACATGTAAAAATGCAACACAAGAAGAATCCATCTCATACCGTCAATTGTTTTTTATTTTTACTGTTTTGTGTTGCTTTTTTACATAAATATTGTGGAGTTTAACGTTACGTATTTCTAGTATATAATTACGCCATAAAGTTCGCAACAGCGACCAGAGAAAAAAATTCAGCTACTATATTTTGGATATTTGGGCAATTAGGTTAATACTCTTCTTACTTGCAATTAAAAACCTGACGTAAAGATTCGTTTCCAAACGTAAGATGGTAGATTAGTTCGCATTTAGTAAAATCTATAAGTGGTTCTCCATGAAACTACTTACTATTAGATGAGATAACGATCAGAATAAATCTTGGTAGGATCAATATTTCAATAATTTTGACCCCAAAAAAAATCAATATTTCAATATTGGACTGATTTTGAATAAAAAGTTGCTAAAGATATTGCTGAGGAAAGAGATGTTCAGATTTTTGGGACCACTCTCGGTCTTGGGATGGCTTTTAGGCGTCGGCTTACTTCCTGGCCACACCACACCGCCTATGATTTTTTCATTTTCTCAGCCGCCGCCTTCTCTTTAAGTCTTCCCTCACATTCACTATTTAAGCACGTGATTTTTGTCTTAGCCACGTGCCAATTCCACAAGATGTGCAGCATATATATCTTATGTTAAATATATTTAAGTTTAGAAGATATTCTACTCGATGAGAAAAAACGAGGAAAGCAGTGTTATTGCTTAAAGGATCAAGTTGGTATTCAGAGAGAAAACGACTTCAACTACAGTTTTCTTGACGGCGTTGTAATTATGTATGGACTGCAAAAAGAACAAAAATAATGCTTAAAAGATGATATCCAATAAAAACATTTATCAGAAAAGTTATCTTCTTTTTTTTATAAACCTCTGAATTGATTTAGGCTCCAAAACCTAAACCATGCCATGCCACTCACATTGTTTTATAAACTAAACTGATTTTTTAATAGAACTGAGTGAGAACAGATGAGGAGAGGGATACATAGAAGACATGGTGTTGCTGACGTGTTGCCGAGTAAGGACACGGTTTTTGTCTACATATTGGTGTAACGGTCCGTACAATAATGCGTTTTCAATAATTAACTAAGGTTTTTTGAACATATTTAGTGGTGGGTTATCATCACTTAGCATGTATTTTAACAAACAATTAACTTTTCAATGAATAAACCCCTTAATGGCCACCTTAAACTCAAAGCCCAGATCATAACCAACCAGGTTTTGCCACGTGGCTTTGGAATATAACAATCAATTTTTAAATGTCTTCTTTTGAACCCAAGGAAAGGCTTTCACACTCACACCACACAGTCACACACTAGTTCATTTTATTTTCCATATACATGCTCTATAGACATAGTTCCAAAAAAGTAGTATCACTTGGATTATCCATTTTATAGTACCAAAGTCATTATTATATATCTTTTAAAAATATTTTATGATGTCTTTGTGTCATATCTTGGGTTAAATATTTAACATGGTGGAACCAATTATGAGCTTCGTCGCTAGAATATTAATAAATAAATGAATATTGTTTTGTATTATGCTTCCATTGAGGAAATCACTCAATTCTATAGTGTGAAAACAAGTTCCATTATTAATGTTTATTGTATACATACTCTTACCGACGAATGAACAATTTTCTTAACATTAAATCATAAATTATGAATTATCCACAAGATATCATTGCAATCCCAAAAAAAAAAAAAAAAAAAAAAAAACCAATCAAGTTTAGCGCTCTGTTAAAACGCCATGATACATGATCAAGCTTGGAATAAAAAAGCTGATCATATATCCTAATATAATATCATGAACACATTCTTTGTCTTTAATTATTCCCTTAAAACAAATTCCTTTCACACGTATACTTAGTGTATATTAATTAACTTAAACGATTTCTAGTTTTTTTCTTTGCTTTCAAAATTCAGAAGCTACCATTATTGTTGAGATGTTGTTGCTGCTGTAAGAACCAGAAGTCTTCATCAGTTTCTCCAATGTTCCATAAACTGTCTGAAGAAGAAGCAGCACCATTAATGTTTTCAAACCAATTGAGGTTACTCTGCTCTTGCATAGTCGTTAGATCTTCGTCTAATAATCCACTGTAATCGAAATAATTCTCCGGCAATAATTGTGAACCCACCAAATTCTGATCCGGATAATAACTATTCCCCACTTGACCCGAATAGTATTCCGGGTTCGGGTTTGGAGCGCTGTAGTACTCCGTCAAGTCTGACGCCGGAGAAACTGCCACGCTGGAATTTTCCGGTGTGATATAGTCATTGTTGCTCATCACACCATACTGTTGTCCCATGTTGTTGTTGTAGTCGTAATTCATGAATTGATTGTTAGAGGTTGTGATGCAAGATGACGTGCCAGCTGAACCCGTGGTGTTGGTGGTTGTAGTGGTGGCTGCTGCTGCGGCTGAGGCCGAGGCTGACTGGATCCTCTCGACTAGCCGAGGCATCCACAAGTACTTCATTGTGTCTTTGAATTGTTGGCTGTTCACGTCACATTTCAACTGTTTCGCATGCTTTTGCACTCGCGTCCTCCAGTAGTTCTTGATCTCGTTGTCCGTTCTTCCCGGTAAATATTGTGCGATTTTTGACCATCTATTCGTCAAAATAACAAGATATATATAAATTAGCGGTTCTAAACAAATCGTAGTGATAATCAAATTCTTATTTTCTTGTCGTCTATGACATTATTATTCATTAGTATATTTCAGGATCATACCATGTTGTAGTCTCTTTTTATCCATCATCATCGACAAAATTTGATATTTTCTCTGCTTTAAAATAGTTTATGTGATTATGTTATTTCCGTTTCAGAAACATTTCCTATTATAGTTTACACTAATTTTCTTATGTAAAATATAGATTTGATCCATTTAAATGAAATTAATCAACTATATATTGTATAGTTTTTTTTTTTAACACAACTATATATTGTATAGTTTTTTTAGAAAAAGATGTTATATTACTTTTATTTTTATTTTTTTATAAACATACCTATTGCCCCAACGGGAATGAAGTTCGAGGATCAAGAGTTGTTCTTCGAGTGTAATGTTTCCTCGGCGGACGTCAGGGCGGAGATAGTTTAACCACCGTAGTCTACAGCTTTTACCGGTACGTTGGAGTCCTGTTTCATTGGTAAAAGTATAAATGATGATTAATTTACCGGTATGTCATGTCTACGTATAGTATGATGATTTTATACGGAAGAAACTCATTATAATAATTGTTTCATTTTCGGTAAAGTTATATCAAATTCCCCAACGAAATAAAATGAACCGTATTATGATGCAAATTGTCCTAAAGGGTCTTTTTCTTCAGCAAGCTTTCTCCCATTGAGTTAGTGCTCTTCCCTTATAGATGATGATCATTAATTCGCATTTTTTTCACCCATTTAATAACCAAATTTGGATATTTTATTCAAATTTGAGATGGTTAATAATTGAATCCATTACCAAAAGATCTCAATCAAATCATCAATACTTTATTCATTCGAATGAAATTATTTTTAGAAATAAGAAGAAGACGAGAAAGAGAAAACATGAGAGGTATGCACTTTTTGATTCATACCTATGAAGGGTCTTTTCATCTATGCATATAGGGAAAGAAACCATTTTCGAATAAATTTTTTTCTAAAAACTATCTTTTAAAATAGTAAAGGTTGGGCAATTTAAAAGAAAAAAACACAATCACACATGGTGATTGAAACATGAAAAGGATTGAAGAAAAAGCAATAAATCAATTATGTTATGCTACTTGTTCTTTGGCTCTTTATGCTTGAAAGATGCTCATGGAAGTGGAACATACATATAGAAAACTATATCTGTATATGAAAATATATATCATACCGGCGCAACGAGAAAGAGAGTTCCATCGACCTTCTCCGTTAGTAGCAATGTAATTCATGAGCTTAAAATCTTCTTCAGCAGTCCACGGACCTCTCTTTAGGTCCATCTCGTCTTCCATGTTGTTGTTCTTCAAGCTTCTTCCTTTTTCATCCATTGATACACACAGAAAAGACCCACAACGAGACTATTCAGCAAAAAGATTGAGACTTTCTACTTTTTTCTCTGTTGTTTTGCGAAGAGGAATAGAGAGAGATTTTTTTTTTTTGGAGTTATGTGTAGATAGAGAAAGGATGAGTTTCGAATGCACAAGAAAAAGAGAAGTTGTGGGTTTTATAGAAGAAAAAAAGAAGATAGTTTTCAATTTTTCTTTTTATTTTTTAAATTATTTGGAACATGTGCTAAGAAAGGAATAGACAGCCGTAATATAGGAACTGTATGTTTATTGATTTTCATTATTTATGATTTTCTACTCCTCAATTCTGTTTAATTATAAGCTCTTTAAAGTTTTAAAATTCGTGAAGGTATAAAAAAACTATCGAATACGAGTAGTCCACTTGGCTGAACAATTATTCTATTAGGGAAAGTGAGTCTTTGCATTCAAATTTCACTATAGCCTTCCATATCCATATTGAATTTTCAAACATTAAGCCATTATGAATTTATTCATTGATGACATATTTCACATTTTTAAAAATCATAGTTTGAGGCTATTGTACTTCATTTTTAACAATACATAAAACAAAAACTATGATTTTATGTGCATTAAGGTATGGACTAAACCATTTTTTCAAAAAATACATTTATTCATAACAACATATTTTAAAAGATTATAATTATAAGAAAAAGCACGTAATTAAACATGTGAAGAGAGTAGTGGTAGTTCTAGTTAACTTAAAAAAATCATATACAGACATACTATATAAAACTGTAGCTGTTGTGGTTAATATTCTGTCACGTTGATAAAATAAACACTATCAAATAAGACCGTCAATAAAACCTTAATTTAAGATCTTCATGCTTCAAAAGAGTTTTTAGTTTCCTTTTGTTACTTGGTTTGGTCCAAACTAAAACATGCTCTCGTCTTTAACTAATACTCGTTATAACAAAATAAAAGAGGTCTTAGTTAAACCTACACCAGTTAAAACTATTGTAATATCTATAAATAAGAATTACTTATATATAGTCTATTGAAAATTGTAGGGTTAAAAAAATAAAAACTGAACCAGACGAAGTATTAATACTAGAAGTCTATAAGCAGAAAAAGATGCCGTCCAGATAAAATAAAGGACTCCAGCAGGAATAATTTAGTAAAGAGTTAATTATCACTTAGCACTTAATTAAGCACTGAGTTTTAATAGTTGACCCGCTGACTTTCCATCTCCGTGCATAGATAACTCTGTTTCCGTTTTCTGATTTCTATTGAAAACTTTGTGCTAATAATCAATATGTTTATTTCCTTTTATGGGTTTCTAATTTATTCAAACAAGTTGCCAATAATAAATATATTTCCCCCTTTTCCTTTTTTAATTCCTCCACTTTCCTCTTATTTCTTCCAGTTTTATTTGACCACAAAAGTCGGAATTCATTTTACCCAAGAGGCACGATATATTTTGTTTTTATAATGGTCATCAAATTTTAGATTTTGAGTTGTTAATGGTATTCGAATGTAAACACAACACCGAATTATATGTTTCTTTTCAAATTAGTTAAACTAACCACATGTAGATTTTAATTAAATTGTTTGTTACAAGCCGGTTAGTGAAACTAGCCACATGTAGGTTCTAAGTATATCACTTTACCATTTAGCTTATACATGTCTTATTAAGAAAAAATCCAAAGCGTAGATATGCAAGGTGAAGGGATTAAAATCAGAGCTTTCTTTGTCCAGTACTATATGATAGTTTAGTATTAATTTGCTTAAGTTGTGCAAGTATTATAAGACAAAAGTGGGAATGTCAACGTATCATACGACGTCCTGTCGATTTTTCTTTCTTTCAAAGTCTGTAAATATCAAAAAGACAAGTTGATATGTGTAACTTAGATATAATAGTGAACTTTGGTATAATCTCACTTTTAATACTTGAAAGCTCTCAAGCCTTCATGCACGATTCAAATTGGATGACTACTCCAAAATCTTGTATATAAAAAAAACATTATACATGCAATACGTTTCCATACATAGATATATGTATCAGCCGGCACACAGGATCTAGAATATACCCTAACTAGATAACATATAAGAATATACCGTATCTAGAATATAATATTGTCATCCAAATTACGAAGCATTTTAAATGTTGTTGTTTTGTAACAGTGCTAAATGTTGTTGATTTAGGCGTTATTTGTCAAATTATCCACACTATTTCTATACTATTATCCAATAAAGTTTTTAAAATTTTGAGCATAAGTTATGTAGAATTAAGTACAGAAACGCTCGACTAATTTTGAAAGTGACCATGGTTTTGATTTTGGTAAGGAATTTTCCGTGAATCCATTATACACGCAAAACATATGAATCGAAGACCAAGTGATTAAATAGATTGCACACAATAAAATGGAACCTAGAGATAGCAAATTTACGTACTGCCAAAGACCCAACTATCGTGCGACATATTTACTATTAAAAAGCTTATATATATAAGAAAAAGCGTGTATATGAATCTATCGACAAATCTACGGTATCAGGTAATTTAAGTTTTATTATCTTTTGTAATTGTTAGTATAATCCTAAACCCATCATAATGTTTGACAAAAAAAAAAAACTGTTAGACGAGATACATTAGAAATCTATAAAAAAAGAGATGCTAGCTAGGAAATTTGTAATGCTTCAAAAAACATTCTCAACTATTCACAAAACCATCTTCTTCTTCTTCAAAAAAAAAAAAAAAAAAAAACTATTCGTAAAACCATATATTATGTTTGACAAAAATAAATTTTCACTAAAGAAAAATAAAAAATCTTCTGTTAAAAATATGAATGTCATAAAATTGGTAAGCTTGTATTCATAAATGCTATCGGAACAATTAATAGATGCTTAGCATTTGAATAAAAAAAAATTATAGATGCTGAAGAACTGCAAGCAAAAGCATATCTTATATCATGACATCCCATTAGTCCACAATCTAGATAATGCTAGGTTAATTACTAGTATGTAAAAAGCTCATTACTATATTGTTACCTTTTACCGAACAATAGAAAAAATAGTATTGTTTTTGTTGTTATCAATTGAAAAAAAAAAAAAAAATTGTAATACCAAAAAATGATACAATAATTTGGTTCTTATAGTGTGTTTGCTTACATTTTTAATTATCTTAACTCGTTTATTGTTTTACATTATAAATCACATTTATTACTATTATATGTTTATCTGATCGTTTTAATTGATTAACGAGTCTCTATATGTTTGAATCATGACTTTCTCTTTTATTTATCTTTACTGTAGCATGACTTATTCCAACAAACGTATAACGTAATTAATACACAAATTATGAAATTAATCGACATTATTAAATATATAGGACCACTCTCTAAAATAACCCCACGCTCAAAGCAACTACACTAATTGTTGAAATTAATTATATATCATTCACTACACCGTTTTGTGCACTAAGATGTACTATAACTTAACCTACTACTAAACGACGCCGAACTAATTAATATATATGCATCAACTTGTCAATTGGGCAATATATATATATATATATATATATATATATATATATATATATATCAACTGATTTTGCTTATTAAGCTCAATGTTGAAAATATAACAAGCAGTTTAACAAATCCTACATGTAATAAATACAAATTTATTGGATTCCGTGGATTTAACTTGTAAGGTGGATATCCGGATTTTTCTAACCAAATAATGAATCGAAACGAATACGGATCAGAAAACGAATTATTCAGATGGAGCAAAAGAGATGGCAAATACTCCTAAAATTCAGGATATTTGTTCTGTACCAACCTCTAGTAAAAATCATATAGCTAATTTTTGTAGTTATCAATCATATATGTAATGGTTATGTAGTTTAGAAATTACCCTTAACAAAGGCAACTCTCGATTGGAACTCTAATCCAGCTAAATTGAACTTATCTAGTTTGGATTGATTGATCGGTATTAATATAATATATTTTTCTGGTCGCTTAGGAAATGTATTTTGTAAAATTCTGATTCTCCATTACCACAAAATACAAATAAGAATATGTGCATAAATACACATTATGTTTATGACTTTTATATTGACAAGGAGACAACTAAACATTACAGCAATTAAAAGATAAATTCTTCATGGCACGGACATCACGTGTTCCACTATATATGTAGAAATAATTTGTCTTAGCTCCACACATGTCTTTCTTTTAGGAAACCACATATTATATTAAAAATCAGTCTACAAAACCAAATAATATATATAACCTTTCGCTAATTTAATTATACTATCGATCGAAAACTATACATTTCTTTATGGATTATAAATACTAACATTTCAATTTAAAATCATTTTAGTAATTAAGTATCAAAAGTTTGCAAAACAATATATAAATCTAGAACTTAAAAGGTCAAATTATTACTGAGAAAATATCACCTCTCGCTTGCTATATGAATTAAAATTAATAGCTTGAGTTATTTTAAAGTTATCAGCAGATATATATATATATATATATAAATTAACCTATTAATTTTTTTTACATATAACATAAACATAATGCAAGCGAGAAGGTTAACAGAACCATCATACTTTAGATAACTATATGTTTAGACCGGTCATAATAATTTTTAAAAGTTATAAACCCTACGTGATTTTTAACAACAAAACAAATTAAAGCTTACGTTTGTCCAAAAAAAAAAAAAAAAAAAAAAAAAACAAATTAAAGCTTACGTGAAAACTCCCATGGACCTTATATGCTATTACGTTAATTCATTAGCATAGAACTCTGTAAAAAGTACATCAAAGTTCAACTTTTGTTCTCGGTCCCCAATTTGGGGTAAACCGAAACGGGAAACTGTAAAGAACTTTTAGAAAGTCTAAGTAATACTATTTTTATTAAGAAAAAATCGTAGCCAATAAATTAAGCAAGTCTGACACGTAGCCACGTACATTTTTTTGATAAAATCTTTTTCTTCCAAAACTTGTAAGTTTTGAACTCTAATTATGATTGGTTGGTCGATATCCTAATCAGATTAGTGAAATATAATTAAATAAAAGAGGTAATAAAGTGTACTTGGCTTTCATAAGTTATGTGATTAGGCCAAATTGTGAAACAATAAACAATGTGCCAAAGAATATTTGTGGGC